TCACTAGGTCGTTGATAGATGAATCATTTTCTAACACTCCACTGGGCGAGAAATGCGAAAAGCGCTTCAAAAATCCTACATTGCCTACAGCATACCTACCACATGAAGCATCTCACCGTCAGAAACATGACACGTTTCACTTGGTGAAAAGGCATGAGAGCGACAGCCGACGCGGTCAAACTATAGTCGCGGAAAGCTAACGGTGGTGCGATAGTAACCAGCGTCGGTTGGTGCATCCCGACTGCCTGGCTGGGGTTACAAGGAGGATGAACACGTTTGGTTGGACACAACTGCTGATATGTCGAAAAGACGACCCCCATGGCGTGTTGTGAGATTCCTTGTCCATCCCCTTCCCTTTTACATTCCCCCTCCAATTCTGATCTCATACGAAATACATAATAGAATAGTTGACATTATATCAGTTGCTTGTGAATTTCTTGTAGTGTACTTTTTTAGGATCTCATCTTTTTGTATTGCGGCACAATAGCTGTGGTGTTTCTCACTCACAACTAACGTGTATTGATGATGATGGTGATGACAGTAACCGGTTTTGCCACCCTATTAATCAGCATCCGGGGCAAAGTGAGGGATGTATTCAGACATGTGGTCGTCAATCGTTGTCTCCAGCTTCAAAATATGGAAGACTTCCCGCAAGACCATCAATACATTAGACTTTTTGGGGAGACCACCCAGTAACACCGTAGAGTGCCTCGCCACACCCTAAAATAGTGCAAATGAAGAAAATCGTTGTCGTCTCTCTGCTTGCAATGGATGCATTAATTATGTAAATAGACCTGCCGGGTGCTGGAGCAGGATCATGTACACAGTCGAATTAACATACACGCCTTGCTAAACGAGTTTGATTCAGCTGGCCACGACTATCGCGATGGACATTTTCAAACCGAGTGTCAAATTTCTGCTTCTCAGAAATCTCCGTAGCGTACTTGCTGGGGTCGCATGTGGATCTACCAGAAGCCGTTTGATGAACTTCCCATGATATAGAGGCTATAGAGTCGGCGCTACTGTTACTCATTCGCGTTGCGATCCAAAGGATCACACATGGATCTGTTTACTTTGTTCCTATAAGGGTAGACGCTTTATCAGATGACAGACTGATAAGCTTAAAAGGGTGCATGCGCAAAAGATGTTGGGCAGGCTGACGCGAAACGATGTGCGTTTTGGCCAGTGTTGCGAGGCATTACAGTAGATAACAGCAATACGTCGGTATGCGGTACCGACGTTTCGCTGCCACGCAACCTTCAGGTGCAGATGGGCTAAGGAAATTGCGAGGGCCGCCCGGTCCCTATGCAGGTTCGAACCCGCGCCCTCGGATTGTAACGCAGGCCTTGCAGTGTAAAATATTACTAACGAATTGGATTGAAGTGCTATCCGTGCTTGCTGTCAACAAGCAGGTAAAAGTGTAAGATCGCGTTATTCGTCCAGTTAGTTATATTTACCTTGGTAATCAAATTCATGATAACGCAAGGGTGTGCATCGATAAGGCGATAGAAAGCTTCAATTACCCGTAAAGGAGGCATGATGATAGCTTCACCATATGAAGTGGTTTAGAATGCTACAATGCGTTCAGCGTTATTGTATGTGTAACAGAAACGACTACGGCATATCGCAATGGGTCGTGACTGATCGCACACATGAATAGTGAAACGATCAGGTGAGCGGTACAAAGGTATCCAGTTCGAGTTCACAACTAAACCGTTAGTTGGGTCTCAGCCGCTAGCAACAGAAAGGGTCCTGCCAATCAAATGCCTGGTAAGCATATGCTGCTGAGTATATTGCATAAAGCAAATGGTTGTGCGATTCCTCAAGACAGTTATGAGTTAGTATGTAATAACATGAGAATGAGAAGAAAGCTTAATCGGGTTGGTGCTTAGTCCTCCTGGAGAGGATGTAGAGAGCTTCGACATCAGAGGGTAGAAACGCTTTCAAACAAGGCGCCTTCCCAGAGACAACAAGAATGTTACTTTCGGCCCCCTGCTGATAGCTAACGGTGAGGCTGGCGGCATCTGGTTTCGGATTTGCTTGTCACTGTGGCCAGCCACAGGACGCCTGCGCCTACAGAGGAACAATGGGTGGCTTGCGCTGCACCACCCACAACTCCAACCACACACCCCATATCCAGTGTAAACCCGAAAGAATAAGACCGGGAGGCATGTGGATGGGAGCTACGTCTCATCAGCGGAGCCGGCCCACACTCCTTCACAGGCAACCATAAGCACGCTGTATTTGGGAATCAAGCGTACACTAGGCGGTGGCTGGACCGTAGTCCGCTCTTCAATGGGTGCATGGAACGACTATTCGAGCCTGGCACGGCCACTGGAACCGTGAACCCAGTCACATCCAGCAATGACCAACTGTCTCCCGGAGCCAGTTAGGACGAGGTAGTGGGCAATAGACAGGTAGGGACCTAGTCATCATGCACATCAAGCGCAACCATATCGGGGATGTCAAACAACAGCCAATCACTTGAAATGACATTATCAAATAAAATATATTTGTTAAAGCGTACGGCTATGCCGACATAACTCGTCGCTAAAGTATCATATGAAGTAAGCTGGTTAGCAATGAATGTGCGTTAAGTACAAATTGTCCACAAGTTACTTAAAAATAGGCTACAAATGAAGTAAAGTTAACGAGGATAACCACAATTAGCATAAGCAACGTGTGCAAGTTAATAGAAGATTATTCGGGCAGGCAGAACAAACAAAATAGTGGAACCAAATTTATCCAGCTTTAAAATGACCAAGTTTAAGGATATATTCGTTTAGCCTAACTGCGGAGCGGAAGCATCATGAACGCAACAGCAGCCTCAGCATGGTGTGGTACGTAGATACATACATCGCCAGCTGTACGCCGTAAGGGCGCTTTGCTGTCGAGTGAATACCACCGGTCGCGCGTGGGCGGAGTATACGGCGAGGGTGCCCACCGCTACGCGGATTCGAAGTGGTAACCAGGCGCGCAGACCACTCAGCCACCAGCCGTGGTCCTCGGTAAAGAATTTACTCATCGGTCGGACAGGTCATACTGATAAGCCACAAAAAATCGATCCGTGATGATACAGATGAAGGACCGCTTTACCGTGAAATGGGACTCTATGATAAGGAAAGGATATGCAGGTTTGCACCCAAGACAGGACACTATATGCTATATCCTCGCTGTGTCGTAGGTACCATGGCTGCGCCATAATTACTACAGCTGTGTTTCTCAACTAAAACACCGGGTTCCAATTCATCCACTACTCGGTTCCGTGAAGGATACTTCTCCAGAAAGAGGTTTCCATGAGATGTGTGGACGTTTTACGTTTCCAATACCGGAACGCCATAGGTTGCATCGAGCCCTTTGGTAAGGTGTTCAAAACATGTACGATAACAAGCGGCTCTCATTAGGATTGATGAACTTTTTCAGTTTCGTTCAACTTTATCGTGGAATGCATGGATTATGCGGACTATATCGTCCTGCAGTTCGAGAATTGTGAAGCAAGATATCTGGAAGAACTCTCAACTATGGCCCCATTATTTGGCGTACGCCTCATACATTCAAGGTGCAAGTGTACTATCGTAGGAACACCATACACATGATGAACCATGGAATCTGGGTGGCGACGAGTAGATAGATTACCAGTTCACCAGCCATTGCAGTTCTAGTAGCCACGAATGGAGCTAGTTCTTTAACTGCAGGATCTAAAACTGAAACGCCGAAATCATAGAATCTGTGCTGACACCAACAGAGCTCCATAGGTGTGAAAAGCCACGTACACGATGCCATAGTAAAGGCCACTCATGTCCACGGGATCCATATTCTCCTCTTCGATTAGGATATGAAGCGTCCACTAGTCTTGAGAATAATTAATGGTGTAGAGTGGCACCAAAGTGCGAGCAACGCTGATGTGCGCAGGTGAGTAGCAGGAACCGATTCGCTTTGTGATTTTTTAAACCAATGAACGGCACTAGATAATTGCGTTGGTTTTGGCACAAGCCAAGTGAGGTTACTCGTCGCTTACTCAGGGTCATGCTATAGCTGGAGGATACAAGAGAGCGTCAAGCAGAAGACAGAATCCGACTTAGCAGTGTCAGGGTTCATGACGACTAAAATAAGTGCTGTTAATCCGTTCCGCTTCCAGGGTGCAGCTCATGCGGCCTGCCCGCGTAGTAAGAATAAGTTAGGATACTTTTTTTATGGTCATGTAACCGGAGTTGTATTTTAGCAAAATAGCTGTTGCGTCTCCAGGCAACGTGCGGAATAATACAGTGACCCTGTGGGACGATATCCAACCACTGCTGGTGTAGCGTTTGCTGCCGTTTCGTAACAGAAAACCGCAAATAGTGTATTTGCTGAAGTAGGTGGCATAACAACGACTGTAACGCACGGTAGTGGAAACTGCGTGATCAGTTGTTAGTGACCGTGTTGCTCGCAATGATCAAGCAAATTGCGCCTTACATTTCCTGCAGGCACGACGATCCCCGGCAGTTTGTTGAAAGTCGAAAATAAGTCCCAATTGAATATGATTCGGACTGTTAAAGGACTGTGGGAAAATTTTTTGCGGCGTACCTATTCTTTTCCAGATGGGTCTAGAATAGCAAGAAATATGGGGCAATGCGCATTGCTGTATATTCCATGCCATCTTTATCTGCTGCTTCGGCTGTAGCATGTTAACGTAAATAACGCATGTAAATTCGTGGAAACACATAGGCATCTGCAGCAGCATGACGCTACGCAGTACCGGCGCTTCGCTGCCGCGCAACCACCATCGGTCGCACCAGGGCTAGGGGTACTGCAAGGGTCGCACTGTCCCTACGCAGGCTTGAACACTTACCGAAAGGTTGCAAGGCAAGCTCGCTACCTTTATGCTACGGGAATAACCGTGAGAAAATTACCGGATACGTGGGAAAGCAACCAAAATTACGGCGGACAAGAACGTGTAGTTGATAAGATATGGTGAGCGAAATAAGTTATCAAGAAGCTGGATACAAAGAGGAACTCGCCTGTAATCGACCATCAAGCGACCTTGGAATGGTAACACATCGCGTAGACGGGTCTTGGCTGGCAAGAGCACGCTCGAGCTCATCCAACTGATTACCATTTTTCAGTCTCTTTACTAAGGACTTCACCGCCTTTTCTTTCCATTTTTCTTCCTTATCAGATCCTTCTTTGATGTATCCGATAAGACGTTTAACAACGGGAGGGGGGCTAGTAAAAAGACTCATTGGCGAGAGACTTTTGAATGTCTCAAAAAATTTGAGAAATGTTGTCAAAGGTCAAAGTTTAAGTAGCAACTCGCGCGATGAAGTCATACAACCGCATGCAAGACGATAGAAAGACATGGATAAACAGCAACCCTGAAAAGCGCGCTTCCTGGATGGCCTCGAAACCACCGTACTTGATCTAACGAATTACGGCGATTTCAAGACTATAAAACTTGCTTTTCGACTGAAACATATTTAGCTTTATAAGTTAGAAAATAATGTCGCTTGTTTTTGATTTCATAGGGTTTTAGCCTTAAGTGTCTGGAGGTAATTCTATTGTTTAGCTTGCCACACTGTTCGAGCTTGCTAGCTGAAATATCGTGAAAAATAGCGTTGAATAAACACTTGAAAAGAACTTAGACTATTGTCAAACATCCTCTGGTCCGAGATACCTGGAATGGATTAGTGGTACTGGCCAATGCTTCTTTGGCGCTTACTGGTTACGATTGCGGCTTTTCCCAGACTTAGTCCCGTCTTGCGCCTTGTTTTGCCATTTTTAGCACGGTCGTTTTAATATTGTATACTTGTTATAATTCTGCTCTGTTTTTTACATGAACATGGATGTCGCGTTAAACACCTTGTCAGATGGACTCCGGGATCTTCTTTCGATGAATCTGGTGCAGCTTGCAGACATTGTAACTGTTCAGACACAATAACAGATTTATCTGGCCTTATGCAGGGCGACGTTTGCTGTCGGGGGTAGCACGAAAGTTCTACCAGCCTAGAAGCAGACCTTTACAAAATTCCATCATCCAGATTGCACTTCCGTTGCAGCCGGACTGAATACTGCGCTCAGACATCGTCGAGCCCGGCTATCATCGGTACTAAACTTTCAGCGCTAGCCTCAAAGTTTGCAGGTGTTGAGAATTCGATAGTCAAGCTTGCCTGTATTGCCTCGCTCCATGCGAAACTGGATTTAGTTTTGTACACTTTGTGTATTGCGCTTGAAGACACTGCATTAGACTGCAACGTAGCTGACGATCCATCCTCTGGGTTCTGTCACTCGGTCAAAAATTCGCACGTCCTACCGGAAACTTAAGGTTGCATGACTGACCCTCCTCATGAACCTGTCAGAGTGACGAAAAATAGCGTGCAGAAATACCATAAACCCACAGCTAAACCCAGAGCATTGGTTGCCAAGATGTCGGCAAGGATGCAGCCTTCGTCAGCGTTAAAGTCGGCTGACGGGCGTGCGCAGGAGAACCTTCCGAAAATGCTGACCGTCTCGCCTGCCACTAAAACAGCCCGTTCTGACAACGTGGTGTTAACTGCTCAATACGACACAAGGTCAACGACCCCCTACTCCAGTGAGCCATAAGAAGAAGCTTACTAGATTCGGCATTAAAACATCGTAGTGGCTTGAAGACCCAGCTTATATTAAGAGGCCGATAACGGAGCGGAAGGTCTACGCCGCCCTTGGTTCGAATGCGTTTGTTGAGACAGGGGCAGTCCTACTGCCAGTGGCGAAAACAACATGTGTAACCGTTGAATCCAAGACAGTAAGTTAAACACTCCCCGTTGCGGCGACTTTCACGGATATTCGCATTATATTCCGTAACGTTACTGAATCTGCGGCTGCTCTCCCAAGGGATACACGCTGGATGAAATCAAGTAGCTCAAATTTTGCATCACCAAGTTATTTCAACCTGGCTTTCCTGGTGTCTCTGCCAGAAAGCTGACCAGTTTGGGGTACATCGCTATCGGTGCGGCAAATCCGCGACCCCAACTACTGCACTTGATCTATCTACCCTGGTGGAAAGCAAATTCTTACTGCAGTTTGTATTTAATATTAAGGGTGGTTGTGTCAGCGTTCAGTTAGGCCGTCTATTGGCAGATAGATGGAAGTTAAAGGAGGATTTCACACACCTCAAAACCAGACGAGTGGCATGTGAGCAAGACCGTCTGGTAGGTTTTCAGATGGTCAGCACAGGTGTGCTTCATTTCACCGAGAGTATACCATTTATTTAGTATTCATAAGTTATTTGCCGCCTAATCAGAACCCATCCTGATGGCGCGCGACCCAGGAATGTCGCGCCGACTGCCTCCAGTTAGTACTTTGCAACGTGCGTAGCCTAGGGAACAAGGCGCACGTGTCGGGTTTACTTGTGGACAAATGTCGTCCAGAGATACTTGCTTTCACTGAACCGCGGGTGTCTCCGGATATCATGGACGGTGAGGTATGTTTACCTGACTACGCATTGCTTAAAACTGTTGCTCCGTTGAGCGTCAGGGCAGAGGGGTTGTACTGTATGTAAGCTGTAACTTAGATGTGTTGAGGACTTGCATGTTCCAGTCGTCCGATCAGATGGTTGAAGCCATATCGGCTGGTTTGTGCACTTCCTGTACTCAGTTTACTGTTGCAGTGATATATAGGAGTCTGGAAGTTTTTCTAGGGGTTATTTTACTTTATACGCAGTCAGACCACGAATAAGGGTTTATTTATGGGGATTTCAACCTCCCGGAAGCCCATTGGGCAGATCGTTCTTGCAATTCGGCGACAGGAACCTGCGGTGTCGAGTTTCATGAGCTGACGCTCCAAGTGCGTTTGCACCAGTTCCTGGTCTTCCCCGCTAAGTATATGGACAACCAACTACCGTCTATTTTAGATCTGGTTTTCGCTAAGTCCCTCGACCAAGTCACTAACATTTCATGCGATGCATCTCGAGGGTCCAGCCAGCACGCATGCATATTATTTCGGGGTGTTCTTTCAAGGCACTAACCGACAGCCGTGAAGCACTTCCAAATATTTGGCTAGTGGACCTTAGGGCAGTGCGAGCTAAGGCTTCAGTTCTGAACTGTGAGATCTCGGTGGCCGAGGCTGTCCAATTAGCCTGGAATAAATTTAAGTCATACCATTTGGATGTTTCCATTCCCTATATTCCACTCATGGGGAAGAGGGTTATGAGCAAAGCCTACATGGATAAATACCACAGGCAAGTACCAACCCAAGAAACGGCCTTGGTGCTGACGAATCTACCAAGCAACTCCATCAGCCTGTACCTATGATAGTTTTTGAGAGGTTAGAAAGGCAAGCAACAACTCAGGACTGTTTGTTTCAAGTACGACCAGTGTTTAGGAGACTCAGCCGCATCTAGTCCCAAGAAGTTTATTTTCCAGGGTAAACAACGCAGCAGGGCAACAAGACCTGTAACGCCGTGATTTCGAGAATAGGGGACCCTGCGCAAGATGGCTACAACAAGGCATGTATACCTCGGGATGATTTACTCTGGTCTAGGCGCGGATGGGCTCTTTAACACAGGTTGAATGGGTTTTAGTGTTCCAGAAGATACTTGCTTAGCTGAGTTTAGCATAACAGAGGCACAGGTCTTCTAGCTACTCCAAGGCATTAATCTCTCTAAAGCTTCCGGTCCTGATGCAATTCATCCGCCGCGATCGCATGAATTGGCCACTAAGCTGCTGGTCCTCGCTCATGTGTGTTTTCATTAGCTCTTGATAGCTGTGTCCTACATTCTGAACGGAAGGACGAAAGCAGTCATCCGATTTTTTAGAGCGGTGACAGCGCCCTACCCTCGAAATACCGGCCTGTCAATTTGACAAGCGTAGTAGTCAAAGTGTTTGAAAAGCTGATAGGGGATTCAGAGGGGAGTAGTGCATAGGTTTATCCTTCTCAGTTTTGTGCAACAGGGATTCCGCAAAGGATTTTCGTGTCAGACTACTCTACTTTCAGTTCGTGAACGCTGAACCCGTACCGCTTGACACTGGACACCATATGGACGTGCTATTCTCGGACTTTTCGAAGCTTTTGACACCGTTCCTCACCCGCGATTCTCCCTAAAGTTTTGTTATTGCTGTTGAGCTGGTTGCGCCCTTAAATGCGTGTATTTTTCCCCTCGAGGGTGGGAACAGTGCTTACGCTTGGGGCATAGCCGTCGGCTCAAGCAAGCTATCCTTAGTGACGGCCCCTGCGGCTAATTATTGGGGCCATTATTGTTCGGGACTATCGTTCGTGACTTACCGAGAGAGCTAGGAGTGTTCTCACGTATGTTTGCTGACACCCTGAACTTAGAAATATTGTGGACAGCTCGGGGGTCCTGAGGTCAAGGTCACCCGCACACACGCGTGAAGTGCATGCTACTGGTTCATTTGGATTATTTCCCTCAATCCTCTCTCCAACTTCTCGCGGCGTTGTCACTGTACGCCAATTCGAACCGGATTTACTAGCTTTACACAGTGATCTATCATACGTGGGTATATCTTCTACGATTAGAGGCTGTGCCATCACTAACCCTTTTCGCTGGCATCTGTGATTAAGCGCAAGCGTTAATTCAACCGTATTGGGCTGCTTGCCTTTCTGTGTGACACCATTCGATACAGAATTCTCGAAGCAGGCCGAAAAGCCTAAGCTTACTCCGATCCAGTGTTTCTCAACACAGCTGTGAAAGAATCTGTGTTCAGCGCTCTGTTCAGGTTGCAGTCACTCACCATTCCTTAGGATCTTGTCAGCCAGTGCGGCTGCATAACCCATCACACCGACTGTGCGACCACGCCGACCGCTCAGTTGACCTTGCAACCACCACGCTCGCCTGACCGATGTGCGCCGCTCTCAAAGCTGTAAAAGTTCAAAACGCTAACCAACCCACTGGGTCAGGTAACGACATCAAATTGAATGGCAGAAAGGCGAAACCGAAGAGACTCCCATCGAAAAGCATTTGCGGGTTAGGAGAATGTCATCGGGTAGTAAAAATCGGTCTGGCTTGTTCGCACTGTTTGGAATGGTACCATACGAAATGTGCAAATGTGCGCCAACAACAGTTACGGGAGCGAAATAGTTCCCAAGATGCGTTTTGCTTCTGTACTGCGTGTTCCAGCATCCCCCTCGTTAAGTGCTTGCTTATCCTAGCTGAGAAATGCGACCGGTTAATCTCAGAAGCAGAGCAGAGGACAAACAATAAGATTACTTCAATGGAAGCGAGTATGGACCACAGAAGCGTACCGGCTGCTAAGCAACGGAATGCTGAACAATCCGCTTCCCCTGCAACGCAATCAGCCACATCTCCATCTTTGTTGTCTTCTCCAAATTTGGTAAAACGCCGGGTGAAAACAGACTGTACCTACGTGAATCAAGCAGTACTCACAGCAAAGAAAATCAGGCACTATTCA